GCCTGATACTTGTTGAAGCTTTTACTGCTTTATTAGTTTATTATATTGCAGTTAGTTCTAGGATTTGTTTGATGAATTCATTACTTTAGCCTATTTGTAGTGGACTGGCTGGACTATCAATTTGTAATGGACTGTTTGAACTATTAGAGTAGCAGTCATTCATTAGCCATATTAGCTTAATTTCGTTTCGTATAGTGTAATTTGAAATCAGAAGCTAGCTAGAACAGGGAAATGATTTGGAGATCCATGATCCTTATTTATGTTATTAACTGGAAATTGAGTTGAAAAGCAGTAGGTAGGCTTTGTCTGCGTTAAGTCTAAGCAGGGTAAACATTTCAGCAATAGCTTCAGTAATGTAGTCCTGAGGTCGCGATCATTTGTGTTTGGTATTTATAGTTTTGAGTTGGTTTGGGATGGATGTTCTTATTGCCAGGTGTTAATTTAAAATCAGGAATCAAAAACAGTTAAGGTGCAATTGTGTCAAATGCTCCAAGCACTTCGAAACTGTTTCTTAAGCCTTGTTAATGTGTAAACTGTTTTAGAATCGAATTAGGACGGGCATGTGGTTTGTTGGTAGTTTAAATTGATAGTCATCACCATTTTGTCTTAAATACGTTAGCTAATCTATGAATGGTAATCCATGTTTAATTGATATCATATTTTGCTTGAAATAGTTCATCAGTTTTCTCCAAGTTCGTTTCATTGTTAATATCGATTGAGTTTTGACTCACGCTGGTTGGGACTGAAAGATTGGGCCAACACCGGCTGGCCGAAATGGCCAGGCCCATTCCCTTTTAACTTAATTAGTTTGAGGCTTCAGGTAATATAATTGGAGGCTTGGGCTCAAGGGCAACGCCAGTAGCCCAAACTGGTCAAGTTCAAAAATCAAAACGGCCATACTCACCTGTTGCCTGGGCTAATTTCAAGGCCCAAAAAATACTGAAGAACTGAACCATGTGAAAGCCTTGGATATAAAAGATAGTAGTTCTTAAGTAACAATTCACTAGGCCCCTTTAGAGACAAATCAAGTGAAAATTGTAGTTTGCTCTAGGTTGGCCTTTAATCAATACGATGAGACGAGCCTCGCCAAACAAAATGTATAAATTGCGGGGCCCTTATTAAATGCTTTATTAAAAATATTTTAGAAATTCGGGACGTGCCATTTAGCGAATTTTCATGGCCTCCCGCAAAGTTAACAAGACGCTAGCCACTTTAGGCGCGCTTTTAACAATATTACCTTCTTAAATACGGGTGTGCATTTCATGCGATCCAAATCCAAATCCCAAAACGTTGAATAAGAGGTGTTAAAGATCCGGATGCATTTCATGTGACGTGATCCAAAAATACGCTCTTAAACGACGTTCACTTTCATAAAAACTAATTAAAAGCGGTTAAACAATTCTAAAATTGCACAATAGGACAACATGTATTAAAATCAGACTTTAGCCAAATATAGCAGTTGAGCGACCGTGCTAGAACCACGGAACTCGGGAGTGCCTAACCCCTTCTCCCGGGTTAACAGAATTCCTTACCCGGATTTCTGGTTCACGACTGCTAAACAGAGTCAAACCTTTTCCTCGATTCGGGATTCAAACCGGTGACCTGGGACACCATAAATCTCCCAAATGGCGACTCTGAACTTCTTAATAAACGAATCCCGGTTCGATTGTCCTTTAATTGGAAAAACTCCTTTATTATATCCTTCACGGGGTGTGGTAAGCGAAAAAGAAGGTGTGACACTAGACATAAGTACCCTAAAAATACATGGCACATCAAGACATGCTTAAGAAATCCAGAATCCAGGTTTCCAAACTAGGTAAGTCACAGTGTTAGGAAAAGTTCAGAATCGCAAACTAATCTTGAAGCAAATAGGACTGTAAGTAGAGATAGCAGGGTAACACATTGGTTCACACACAAAAGATGAAACTACAAAGGCCAAAGGACTTACCAATTACTAATTGATAAACAAGTAGCCAAGAAGAAAAATTATAACAATATCTCAATCGTCAATAGCAAGATGAGCAGTAGAACTCATGAATCTTAGTGCGTCATAGTTCCCAAGGGTTTCGAACGAACCTATGGCAGTGCTCACAGTGAGAATGGTCTAAAACCAGGAGGTCACAAGTTCGAGCCGTGGAAACAGCCTTTTGTAGAAATGCAGGGTGAGGCTGCGTATGATAGGCCCTTGTGATCCGGCCCTTCCCTGGACCCTGCGCATAATGGGAGCTTAGTGCATTGGGCTGCCTTTTTTTTTTTTTGGCTTTCAGCCGGCCAAAAGATTAAGCTTCAGAGTAGCATAAGATAAGTGAGAGAAAGAATAACAGTGGTTTCGGTGATTGTTAAATCTTAGAGGGGAACGAGGAAAGGGGGTTTATATAGTAGTAAAGATCAACACACAAATAAGGAAATATAGTCAACGGAACACAAATAAGGAAAGAGAAGCATGCAAAATTACTCAGAATCAATTTAGGAGAAAATCAGGTAAACCGTAGTTCAAAAAGAGAACACAAATAGTCAAAAATCTCACTAGATCAGACCCACATGGCCTGGTAGTGAGCGTATACAGACGAAATATTATCCAAATCTTGAAGGGTGAAGCCGATTTTCCTTGATTCGGAGACTGGTATTTTCCAAAAATGGAGAAAGTACAAAGTAATACCATAGTCTTGTAAGTAACAACGAGGTAATGCTTAAAAGATAAGTAAATCACATAAGGAATCTATGATTTGATCAGATTTGGAGAAGACTGGGGGAGGCGGCTAGGGTTTCTGAAGGAGGGAGAGATTAGAGAATACAAAGACGGCTGGGCGGGGGGATTTGTCTCTAGGGTTTGGGGCGAGGGTCATAAAGAGAGAGGGAGGTTTAGTAAGGGCCGTTGATCATTTAAGATCAACGGCCAAGATCGAATATGAAATGGGACGAGTTAAGTATAACGGGTCGCGATCGAATTTGAAAAGGTGTCGTTTGGTTGGGCTGCTGAGAGGTTAAATGGAATGGGCCAGATGCCTTGGGCCTTTTTTGGTCCGAAAATTAGCCCTTCATTGGGCTATAAAATTAAATACAAAAAAATTATTTAAATAATTTATAAAAAGTAATTTATAAATAATAAAAATATTACTTATGCAGTAAAACAATTGAAAATAATAGCTTAAAATTATAAAAATATAAAATAGTATTTTAGTATAAACAATGTAAATAATGTAATTATGTATAGAATATAGGTTATTATTGCAAAATTATATAAATAGCAAAAATACAAATGTAATTTTATGAAGTAAAAATGCTTTAAAACATATATGTGGGTGTAAATAATAAATTTGGATGATTAAGTCATCACAGAATAATTTGAAAGGATAATTAATAAATATTTGAATAATTTAAATGCAAGAAAATCAATATTAAAGCTTTACAAATTATGAAAGATTATAGAAAATACTTATTTGACTCTTGTAAAATGAGTAATGATGCAAAATGATATTTTGAAAGTATATATATTATTTTATAAAATATAAGGGCAAAATTTGGTATCAGCACCAATAAATAATGTTAAATCAACTTAGGGACTTCTGAATTTAGTTTCGGGCATAAGTCCAAGTTCTAAATCACGATACGGACCTGCCAGGACCGTCAAAATACCGATCCAGGTCCGTTTAACATAAAATTTTAACCATAGTCAATTCAAACCATTTTTAAGGCTAAATTTTATATTTTCTTCAATTTTTCACATAATAACTTTTTTCAGAACAAGACTCGGACTGTACACTTAAATCGAAAAATACTAAAAGGAGCTAGTCGAGGTCTCAGAACACATAAATAAAGGCTAAACTCGAAATAATCTATCGGGTCATTACAACTCTCAATAAAACCGTTGCAATAGTTATTCGAAACTGTAATGATATCATAATCTTGGCATTGCAATAGCTTTAATAACCTTTGCATAAAATGATATGGCAACGGTTATGAACCATACCAATTGACTAAATATATCGTTGTAATAGAAGGAAGAAAAAACTATTGCAATAGATAGTGATATAACAACGGTTATACAAACTGTTGCAAGATCTGTTGTAGTAGATCTATTGCCACGCGACCCGGTGAACGGTCCCTAATCCGTTCCAGTAGCTCTATTGCAACGGTTATTCAGCCAACTACTATTGTCGTTATTTCTTGGTATTTTAGTGAGCCCAGATGTAATTTTTCATTGCGCACTGGTTGTAATTTGATCTGTGGGATCTGGGGTTCTGATAAGGGGAGGCCCGAAGAAGTCAATAGAGATGCTCATTCGCGTATGCATCAGATAGATAGCCGTTATCCGCAGATATAGTCATTAATGAAGAGGATTACACACTATTGTTGTTGTTGTTTGGTTTTACTTTTTATTAATTAGGACACCGTTCATGGAAATTTAATCACTTCTATTGATATTGATTTATAATAATGCAAGAAAATATAGTAAAGCAAAGATTATTTCCACTTTTTCTTTTCATTAAAGTTTGATTCAAAGATACCCCTAATTTGGACGAAATGCCACATGACACCTCCAGATTAATTAGAGTGACTCATCCTAAGTTTTATTACCCGACCTGCCCCTAACTTTTTACCTATCACCCATTTACCCAATTGACTCATCCTAGTATGGATTCGGGTAAATAAAATTTAGGATATGTCACTTTAGTCCCGAGGTGCCATGTGTTATTCTGTTCAAATTAGGGGTATTTCTGAATCAAATTGTAACGGTAGGGGCTCAGACAAGCAGATAGTAAAACGGAGGATACACTACAAGAAATAGGTTTAAATAATATTTGAAAGTAGAGATGTATATTTGATCCTTTTTCGTTTTCTTTTTTTCTTTTCTTTCATAATAGCGCGCATCAGATACAAATTTACTACTCTAAATATAAAATTGAGTAAAACAACTTAAGACATAACTAAAGAGGAAAAACACATCAACACTAGCACGTATCTTTCTCCCACATGAAATTATTTGTTAATTCTAAAAGAAAAGAATTAAAATGAAGGGAAACTGCCTCCGGCAAATACAAAGTGAGCCGAATTAAGTGCAAATTGCGTAAAAACAAAAGATAGCAACATAATTTTCAGTTCTACAATGATCAAATTAAATTCCCTAATGAAGTTGCGTTTTATTTCAAAATATATCATCTAGGTTCAAAACGCATGTACACAATATACTGTAGTACTACTTTACAAGTGTTTAATAGACTGTCATGCCTTAGGCATTGAACTGATGGACGTTTCAAAAGGAAGCATAGATTTGCATCTGAGTCAAAATGTGCTCAAAGTTATCTGTGGACTTCTCAATGGGATGTGAATGCATGCCTTCATAAGTAGTTACTACTACTCCTTCATCCTTTGACAGCCTTTGTACTTGTTTCTTCACATCACATCCTTGATGCGTGCATCGGTAGTAGCTTCTGATGAGCAAAACATGCAATAATTAGAGAAAATTTAAAGGAGGAGGACTTTCAGTACATTTTTTTTTTCATTCCGATCCCGAGAATCGAGTAAATTGATACTCCCTCTGTTCCAGTTTATATGAACCTATTTCTTTTTTGGTCCGTTTCAAAAAGAATGACCTCTTTCTAAATTTTGTAACAATTTAGGTTAAACTTACAATTCTACCCTTAATGAGAAACTTTTATACCACACAAATACTCTGGATCACTTTTTGATTTGTTTAGGACCACAAATTCCAAAAGTCTTCATTTTTTCTTAAACTACGTGCCAAGTCAAACAGGTTCACATAAATTGGAACGGAGGGAGTATTAGGCTAGTATTTTCTCTCAAAATGGTTTAGCTTCCCGTAATTAAATTTATTGATATTTGACCAACATGCTTAGATGTAAAAAAAATGAAAATAATGATTTTACGTTCTTTCTGAAGGCCGTTCAATTAATCCTCCATATATATAGAGAAAATAAGGGATAAATAGGTGAGAAAAGAAGGAATTAAATATTTAAATAATGAATGTCCATTCACTCAAATGGTTTATCTCTTCTCTCTTTGACAGCTTTAACTAGTTAATTCGTATTCTTTTGACTGCTTGAACTAACTTTTCCCATATCTAAGACCTTAGGTACTTGAAAGTGGTACTCCTGGGGAAATAATAGCAAATTATCGATTTACAATAGTGAACTTTTTACTTGATTTGTGATCGACCTAGCTTAGATCAGTTTCGTATATAGTTAAAAAATACTCCTTCCGATCCACAATAAATGATCAATTTGCTTTGGACACACCTATTAAGGAAATACTAAATTTCAGATGAAAATAGTTAGTGTGACTAAACTACCCTTCATTAAATGTTGCACCACAGTTATAGTAGTACTTATCTTCTCAAATGTGAGAAGTAAATGACTTTTTAGGTATACGTACATAAGGGTAATTTTGGAAAAACAAGTTGAATTTTTCCTTGATTATATAAATGGACTAAATTGGTCACTTATTGGGAGCCGAAGGAACTATAAATTTATTCCAGCTGAATATATCATGGTTAAGTGAGACATGCCAATTTATTACATTTCCTACAACTTCTTATTTGGGTTCAGTATCCGTACTTTTGATGACAATACTCATTGTAATACCAATATATAATTAAATTTGGGTTCAACTAGTCCTCCCAAACCTCGGTGCTTCCCGATCAATCCTTAAACGTCAATCTCTAATTATTTGTGATCGAAGGGTTAATTGAGTTACTTTGCACGTTTTGTTTTAAAATTACTCCACTATTTAACGTAAAATAAGTAATTTTCCTAGGCATGTGAAGCTCCAAAATTATAGTGGTGGAATAGTTATTGTTAAAAAGTAGAAACCAATCAACAAACAAAGAGCACTTCTAATCCTTAATGTATAGGTCTATTTGAGTATTTTCTTTTTCTGTGAATATCCGAAAACTACTTTTTTAATTAATCTTGATTAGGTTGCTGTGAAATTTTCAAGGTGTACAGAATTCACTTGAGAAATACACTTAAATGCTTAACAAAAAGATAAATTTCCCTTCCTAGTTGAATATACTTTGTTACCTTTGATCCCCACCTTCTTTTGTCGTTATGTATTACTATGTATTAGACCTTAATTAACAGAAGTACAGAACTAAAACACATAAAAGAGTTTCATTATGTAACATGATCCCGTAGTATTTTTAACAAAGTTATCGTTTGAAAAAAACAATTAAAAGATAAACTTCACTTCGGAAATTAAAGTTGCTATGTATTGAATGATTTTCAACTTTCGAAGAAGCTTGTAATTGAGCAAATAAATTACATTAGTAGAGTTCTGTGGTGATACTAATATTGTATCCTTTTGCCTTTTAATTTTTTTGAGCCGAGAGTCTTTCGGAAACAGCATCGCCACTCCTTTGGATTAGGGGTAAGGTTTGTGTACACATCACCCTCCCCAGACCCCATTAGTGAAATTTTACTGGGTTATTGTTGTTGTTGTTGTTGTTGTTATAGCAAGTAATAAAACATTACTAGTAGATAAAAACTGACCTTGGGAATCTGTTGTTCTTGACAGCCTTCTGTCCATATTTCCTCCATCTATATCCATCATCCAAAATATCCACTTGACTCCTTGTTTGAAAAGCATATCTCGGTTTTTTAATCTTCTTCTCACCTTTATTCTTCTTACCCGATCTCACCTCGTTCTGATCATTAGAGTTATACGGAATGCTATTTGTGTGATCAGTAACAACACTGGAGCTTGGAGCTTCCATGCTTGCCATTAGCCCCAAAAACCCGCTCGATTTCCTATTGTCTTGGGTTAATTCAGCTGCTTTTGTATGAGAATTGTTGTTCATCATATTCATTAGTGAGAACTGATCAGACGACGAAGAAGAATAATTTGGAAAAAAATGTTGATAATTCTCCATCAAAGTAAATGAACTTTAAGAGAGGAAGTTGTAAGGAATGGAACTGTGGTGTATGTGGTTTTGAAGGCGAATTTACCATTAAAGAATTTGGACTAGTGTGGCGGCTATGGTGGCTAGTTAGGTTCAGTATATTTTATCTTATTGTATTTTTTAAATGACACGTAATAATGTCATTATTAGTTTAAAATTTACATTAATACCATTTGATTCTTTTAGTATAATCTCTTTACTATAGAGGAAGGTGGAACTTTGAAAGTATCACGCTGATAGCGGGAGCTACCCTAAAGTTATTCTTTCTTTTTTGAACCATGCCCTTTTTTTAGAGTTAATTGGTTTTATGGCCCATTATATTCTTTTTTGATTTTATATCAAATTTCCGAAAAGATTTTTATTTTTGCACAGAGAAGATCTGAAATTAAAATATAAATTTTTTATGTATTAATTATTCTTTTCTAATCGTAAAGAATTATATTGAACTATTTCATTTTGATTATAATTCTGGTGCGCTGGTGTATATTATTCACGTGTATGATGCATGAGTACAAAAATTTATGACATCTTTGCTGAACAAAAGTGACCATCCATCTATAGTCCTTTAACTTTTTCCCGGTCAAAGCACGTGTGCTCGAAAGACTTTTAATTCTAGAATGTGACGTTCGAAAAAGAATGGTAGTAATGAAAATTCAAGAAATATAGAAGAAACTTAATTGTGGAGTAGCAACTCTGAATTTAAATGTTTAAACTATAAGCGGTTGCTAAACTCGTATATGATTTATAGGCTGCATTGAAAACAACGGTACATGCATCAACCAAATAAGATATTTAGCATGAAAATAGCAAATATATATATATAGAGAGAGAAGCAAATTTTTTATAGAATAAGAGGTTGAGTAATGGAGGCAAAAGTGTTTAATACTGTTCGAAAGTAGTTTTTATATTTTGAAGAAGTCCTAAAACCAAAAGTACCTCTAACGGAGAAAACTAAAATCTGGAGCTCAAGAAATTACTCTAGACCCACCATTTAGACGTTTGTCTTGATACGAAAGTAAATTAATTTTTTTATGTTAAACGTTTAAAGTTTTGTAAGATATATAATCTTTTTCAAATTATCTTGTTATTGACTGTCTGCTCACTTCTTGTTCTCTGTCTTGCTTTGATTGTTTGCTTAGTAAGAGAAATCATAAGATTGAAGTTACCTCATCAAAATTCTTTCTAAAATTACCATTTCTACAAAATCGGAGGAGCCGCCCTATGAGAGAAAGTTGAAACTGATAAAACACCATTATCGATTAAGGAAATTAAAGAAAGAAAATGTATAGAAGGATAGACTGATATTAGTCAGTCAAACAATCTAAGAAGCCACCAACCATAATGGTATTTAAATATTCTTTTGAAACTTCCTATTTTTTCAAAATAATGAAGCTCATGCGAACTGGAAAATTACCAGGAATTCAATGTACGTGGAAAGTTGCTACTCACTAACTGTTGTTAGTCCAAACTTGTGGACTATATCCATTCCACCAACGTGTTGCTTTTATTTTTCTCCTTTATTACTATTTTCGTTTTCTTTTAGGAGGAGGAGAGAGGGGAATGTATGTAGTCATGTAGGTTTGTTTGAGGGGCGGCTTAACCCTAAAGCTATCAGTTTTAAGCCCAAAATATTAAAGTCCCAAAATTAATCGTATATATAATATAAATAATTATATATTTATTTTTAGTAAAAAATAAATTTTTGCCATCATATGTTATTAATTTTAATCAACTACTACGTCCATATTTTCAAAGTTTATACTATGTACTATTTAAAAATATTTAATGTAATTATGGTTGAAAATAGTAATTAATTAAATTTGTAGTTACTTCCTATCTTAAATTTGTCTAATGCATTTGAACTTAAATCATTCTTTCTTATAACTTCGGCGTTGTAAGATTTTTTCAATTCTTTGAATGTGTTTTTAAATATTTTCAAGCTCAAGCTAACTAGATTATTAAAAGATTAGATGAGAAAATATGTTGTCTTATAACTTGTTTCCTCGTAAAAGTGTGATCAAACACATCAACTTATTCTTAAAAAGGGTACTTTGGGAGAGAAAGCATTTTGTCCTTGGAGAAGATTTTGCCAAACAAGCTATTAACCTTGAATATCTTTTAAATCATACTGATCTATAAAATTGATGGTTTTACCAATTTTTAAAATTGAAAGTAATATTAAAAGTTGTACAAGTAAAAGATGACACTCTAATTTGCATATGTGAAATCTTAATTATATTTTTTTTAAATGTTTCTACAACTCATAGAATAATTCAATATTTTTCTCTTATAGTTCCCTCAATAGTTGTAAACTAATATCAATAAGATCTAACTTGAGACTAACAATATCTCATAAGATTTACACGTACTAACCATATTGTTAAGTGAAAAACATTAATTACCCAAATATAATTAACTTCCTTACATTTTAGGAAGTTATAAGAATAAACATCAAATAAAATATATAAAAATTTACTAAGAAATCTAGGGCCTGATGTTAGGCATATATTCATATGTTTTAATGTTACTTTATCTATGTTTTAACAATTTTTTTGGTTCTATTTGGTCTATAAATTTTTCAACATGCTTTAACTATTGATTTTATGACTAATTAAGTTGTGTATGATGATTTATGATGTTTGGAGTGCAAAAATAAGAAGAAAGGAGTCTCTAGCTATATGAGAAGAGGGTGGATGCGTCGTATCCAACCTTCAAAAAAAGGCTAGTTGGTTCACCCTTAGCAGTAAAGTCGGGAGAAGACATCCACCTTAGCATCCCCACCTGGGCACAACAAGGATGAGGGAACAGAGAGTGGACGCGAAGCATCCACCCCAGCATCCAATGCTGAGATGTTCAAGCTTAGGCGGACGCGAAGCATCCACCACAACATCAATCCCTGAAGCTGATTCGGAATAGGAAAAGGAAAACATTGGCCCATGATTTTTGAACGCAATATATAAGCCAAAAATACCTCTTTTAGGTCATCTAACACATGGGGAAGCAGAGAAAAGCCATCACAAGTTTGAAAATCATGGAATTCGTCTTTAGTTCTTACTTTTTCCTTCTTTTATTGATTTTTATGTATTCTTGGGAACTACTTAAGATTGCTATCATGAGCATGCATGGCTAAACTCGTTCGTTCTGGGGTAATGGGTGCTACATGAATATTGACATTTGAAGTTTAAATTGACGAGTTTGATTTTATCTTATTGGGTTGTTTATATAATTCCGTTCATAATTTGCTACGTAGCTAACAGTGAAATACTATCTACGAATATAGAGTTGAACTCGAAAGTGGGAATTCTACATTTCATATAGGATTAAATAGAGCAAGTTCTACAACCCGGGCATCGGAGAACGGATTCGCAATTAGGATAGAAAAATACCTAATTGTCTTGCGTGGTTGAATTACAGGAAGTGTAAATGCGTTCTTGTTAGTCTTAATCCCACAGACATATAGGCATTAAGTTAACCTTAATAGGCGAGTAAGAACTCGATAGAGTTGTACGAGTAACATTAACCCTATCTATCAATAAACAAGATAAATCAATTTGTCAGTTTAAGCCGAGAACGCAACAAGATTGTTAGCTAGCCTATAACCTTGAAATAACTTCTCTTATTGATCTTTATTCGAAAATTGCCTATGTGTTTTAGTCGATCTCTAGTTTATTTAACTGCTTGATAGTTCATTGGTTGTTAATTAATCACCTAGAGATTTTGAGGAAAATCTCTTGAATAGATAAGTTGTTTGAGTTTGAATCAGTCAAAATTTAATCATAAGTCTCCGTGGGAACGATACTCTATTCACTTATTTATTACTTGACGACCACGTATACTTGCGTGTGTGTTTGGTCGCAACAAGTTTTTGGCGTTGTTGCCGAGTAATAGAAATTAGCTATTTGTCTAAGTTAAGCTTTTATTAGTTATTTGTTCAATTTGCCTGATTTGTGTTAACGCAGGCTCTTCTCTTGAATGCGGAGGAGTTGAAGCGTGAACAACCTCCTTCCTCTTAATCCTAAAATAGAACGGACACTTCGCAGGGTAAGGAGGGAAGTCAAATCTAGAACTAGAATAGAAACAGAGTTGGAAAAGTAGTTCAATCACAACCACTAGAGACAACAGGTAATGAAGAGCGACCGGTGATAGAAGTCAACAAGGCCCAATCTTGCTAATATGACACAGGATATTGTAAAGCCTGATATCACGGGTCACTTTGAACTCAAACAGTATATGGAAGTATGTGGGTCTATCTCTTGATCATTCGCAGCGGCACATCAGAACTTCCTGGAAATTATGGATACTTACAATTATTCGAATGTTTCCAAGGATTACGTCAGGCTGACATTGTTCCCCTTTTCAATGCTGGGGGAAGCCAAAGAATGGTTGCAAAAGGAGCCCGTGAACTCGATCCACACTTGGGATGATCTAGCACGAAAATTCTTAATCAAGTTTTTTTCCCACTAAGAAGACAAAGTCACCGAGGAGCCAGATTCTTGGGTTCCAACAACGAGATGTTGAGACTCTTTGTCAAGCTTGGAAAAGATACAAGAAACTACTCAAAGACTACCCACATCATTGTCAGACTGATAAGGTGTTGGTCACACTTTCATTGATGGGTTGGACGAGACATCAAAGATGAATCTTGACTTAGCTTGTGGAGGTAGTTGCATGGTAATGCCGTACAATAAAATCCAGCTCCTACTAAATAATTTCACTGCTAATGATAATAATTGGCAAGGATATGGGAACACTTACAACCCAAATTGGAATAATCGCCCTAACTTCTCCTGGCGTGGAAATCAGATGACTCAGAATTAGTATAGGCCCCAAGGCAATTACAGCCAACCTCAAATGCCACCCCAGTAAGTAGAGGAGAGTACAAATGACATGTTGAAGAAGTTGTTGCTTGACAATCAACAACTCAGGACTGATTTCAGAAATCTTGGGAGACAAGTTGGATAGTTAGTGTCAAATCAAAATAATATGCATGCAGGCGGTCTTCCTAGTGATACAGAGAAGAACCCTCGAGTTTATGCAGTC